CATATGGTTTCTGCTTCTTTGTCTTCCAATTTTGGCTGCCTTTCTGCATCTGTTTCTATTCATTAAGCAAAGCTCCTAAGTTCCTAAGTCAGTCTTATTAGCATGGCTTGTGTAGTAGGTGTCGAGTGGCACCTACTGAGAGAAGTTCAGGTGCAGGCCAAGATTAGCCCGAGTGAGCCTGTGTCCCTCCAGTTCAATCTGTTAAGGTTCAGCAAGCAATCCACAGATGCTGTGCTTCTAGTTACCTCAAGAGGCCATGCCAGAAATCGAGGTCAATTGCCACCAGTGTGAGTCTTGGAGTTGGCTCAGCAAGGAGCACCGGATTCGCTAAGGATACAACTGAATGTGGCTTGGGTGGAGCCCTGAGTTGGGTGAGGCAGAATTTCAGGGAATCCTCTGGGTGAAGTAACCTCTGCTCTCCAGTTTGATGACATCTCAGCTATGGTGGTGCTGAGTTCAGACACTAAGAGAGGGGAGGGCTCAGCAGAGGAACAGTGGATACTACCAGCACTTCTCTCCAGGAGAGAGCTTCATCTTTGACCTTGCTCCAACAACTCAGTGACCCTTGTAATTCCCTGGTGCCTCCCGAGCAGCCCACTCGGCACTGGCGCTCAGATCAAGCAAGTCCCTCACTTTGAAAGTCTGCTCACGGACACTCCCCTTTAAGAAGCGTCTGCCTCTGCTGGTTGCCGTAGCCTCTGTCCCAGTCAGCTATTTGGGACCAGGCAGCCTCACATTTTTGCCCGCTTCTACCTTCTACCGTTTCAGGGCAATTTCTTATTTCACTCCCTAGTTGTAGTACTTCTGTTCATCTAGATCCCAGGTTGCTTTGCTTGCTGTTTCCTCCATGTTCCTGTCACGACTTACTGTTTGCTCCATGTTCCTGTCACAACTCCATGTTCCTATTGCAAGAGGGATGAACAAAGCCTATGCCAATTTTTTCCAAGTAAAAGGTTCTTAACCTAGTGCCATAGACAGTGATTGGCTCTAATACACAATTTAAACAAAGATATAATGTGGCTTTCTGGTTCATAGCAATACAGCAACAAGGAAACAACTGTACACAGGATAATCCAGAGCCAACAGCCTGATCTTTGCTTGGTTGCTGGTAGAGATGTTGGAACCAAAAGGGCAGAGGCCTGGCTTTTTGCCCTTGGAGTAGGAAAGCAGCTATTCTTATTCCAGGCAGACTGTGTGGCCTTGGACAAGTTACTTAACCAATATGAGTCTCAACTTTCTCATCACCAAAAAGAAGAGAGTTGTGTGGGCCTCCCTGTGTGGCTACACTCTGCTGAATTGATGTGAGGCAACCATCTCATGCATGATAAATCCTGAGTTTACTCCATTAAAACCCTCAGCATCCAGCAAGCTCCTTTGGCCTGAGACTGACGTAGAGGCTGCCTTAGGCCCCTGGGGTCCTTAAGTCTGAGGTCACTTCAATTATCCCACATTCCAGCCTTCAGGGAAGTTACTTTTCTTCATGCTACACTTTCTTAGCTGGAGACCCTGCAAGGCAAGACCCTGGGAAGCTATTCTCTGCCAGGGGCCCTGTGGATGCCAGTTGCCTTGCTGTAAGTCATCACCTCTCACTCTGTCGGCTGCTCTTATCTTTTGGCACTTTAATTATGATGATTATGATGTGTCTTGGTGTGGGCTTCTTTGGGTTCATCTTGTTTGGGACTCTGTACTTCCTGGGATTGTATGTCCATTTCCTTCTTGAGGTTAGGGAAGTTTTCCATCATTATTTCTTGAAATAGGTTTTCAATCCCTTGCTGTCTCTCTTCTTCTCTGGCACCCCTAGTAGTCAGTGTTGATATGCTTGATGTTGTCCCAGAGGCCCCTTAAACTGTTCTTATTTTTTGGATTCTTTTTGCTGTTCCGATTGGATTGTTTCTGCTACCTTGTCTTCCAAATCGCTGATTCAGTCCTCTGCTTCATCTAATCTACTGTCGTTTCTCTCTAATGGATTCTTTATTTCAATTATTACATTTTTCATTTTCTACTGATTCTTTTTTGTTGTCTCTTTCCATATTTATATTTCCTATCTCTTTGTCGAAGTTCTCACTGAGATCATCTGTTCTTCCCCTAAGTGCACTGAGCATCCTTATAACTAGTGTTTTGAACTCTGCATCTGGTAGATTGCTTGTCTCCATTTTGTTGAGTTGTTTTTCTGGAGCTTTGTTCTTTTCTTTCACTTGGGACGTTTTTGTCTCCCCACTTTGGCTGCCTCCCTGTTTCTGATTCTATGTATTATTTAGGTAGATCTGCTATGTCTCTCAGCCTTTGTAAAGTGAGCTCATGTAGTAGGTGTCCTGTGGGGCCCAGTGGCTCAGTCTCTCTGTTCCCCTGAGTCAGGTGCTCCAGTTGTGTCCTTTGTGGGGGTTCTATGTGCCTTCCTGTTGTAGTTGATCCTCGGTTTCCATTTGCATGTCAATGGAAGGAATTGACCAATGGGCCATTTGATTGTGAGAACTTGCTTGTGAATACAGTGGAGGAGCTGTTGTGTAGGGGCTGACCCTACAGAGCAGGATTCACTTTAGCAGGGTTCTGGTACCTGCTCAGTCTGCCCTTTGGGTGTGCTGTCCTCAGATGCAACCCTGGGTTGTGCTCTGGCTCTGTCTAAAGCTGGCCACTTGGCATGCCATCCCTGGAGGCTCCTGACATGAGCCACTAAGTAGTGCGCAAATGGCCACTTCCTGACCTGGGCTTGGAGATACCTCAAGAGGCCAAGCTGTGAACTGAGGCTGGCTGTTGCTAGTGTGAGGCTTGGGGCTGCTTAGCAAGAGGTATGTGGCATGATGAGGCTAGATGCTGCTTGTTTGGGGTTTGTGAACCTTGAGAGATTTTAGGAACGTCCATAGCAGGAACTAAGACAAGCCGTTTGTATGGAAAAGCCACTGGAAGCATCCTGGGTGGGCCCACAAGTTAGGTGGAGTGGGCATCGAGGAATCACAATGGGGCTGCGAACAGTGTTAGGTTGATGAAGATTTAGAAATGGCATCTACCTGCATCTGCACATTGGTCGAGTGAGCGATCGACAAAGGAACAGTGGCTTTTACAAGCACTTCTGTATGGACAAAGCTGCCCCTCCTGCCCTTGCCCCGAAGCCAGACAATTCAGTTCCTCCCCATATGTTCCTGGCGCCATTTGAGCTGCTGGCCCAGCACTAGTGTTCAGAGCAAATAAGTCTGTCAGTGAGTAAGTTCATCTGCAGAGAGACACCTGGTACTCCAGTAGCCCTGCATCTCACTCAGCCACAGTCCCTACTGGTTTTCATAGTCAGAAGTTGTGGGGACTTCTCTTCCTGACACTGGATCTCTGGGCTGGGCAGCCTGGTGTGGGGCTGGAACCCCTTGTTCCTCTGGGGGGACTGCTGCAACCAAGATATTCCTGCCTATTTTTAGCCACCACACGTTGGTATGTGGCCAGCTCTTTCTGCATCTCTGCCCCTCCTAACAGTCTCCATATGACTTCTGTATATCTCTAGTTATAGGACTTCTGTTCAGCTAGACTTCAGGTGATTCTTTGTAATTGTTGTTCTATAGTTGTGATTTTGATGCGGTCATGAGAGGAGGCAGCAGAATGTTAACCCACTCCACCATCTTGACCAGAACTCCCCTTAAGTATCTTCTTGAAATTTCCCATGGTGGACTTCTCTTTTATCATTTCTACTGTCCTCATTTGCCTTCCTCTTGTTCTCTCTTTTCCTTTCTTCTACCCACTAATGTTTGTTTTTCTCCGTTCTGTCCTTTGCCCTCTTCTCTTTCTACATTTTCTTCCTTGGTAATTTTAAATCCTTTTTACTATCACCTTCTGTCGTGGCCTTTCTCCTGAGTCCAACTTTGAGATATATATTACAGGGTCCCTTAACACCTCAAGTGTAGTATAACTACAACTAAACACTATTTCCATCTAAACTAGGTCTTATTCTGGACTTTCCTATTTCTATTAATGGTAGAACCAGATTCAAAATCTCAGTCATCTTCTGACTCTTTTATCCTTTGTTTCCCACATCTTATACAATTGCTGAATCCAGAATGTAATACTCTTGGTATCATTTCCCTTACAGAGCCAAATGCAGGCTTCAATTGACCGTTGATGATTTGTTGCTGTCCAGACAACAAGTTCCTTTAAATTTTCTTGCTAACTTATTACTCTTTTCTTTCAAGGAAGACTTCATCCATCTCTACCGCATTTAATAGACTTCTAACCTGACACTCAAGGCCCTTTGTGTGAACTTAGTTGGGCTTTCTTTCCAACTTCATTGTATTTCCCTTTATGTGCTGTTTCATTCACTTGTGTACTGTTTAAACCAATATCCTATATAAGCATCCATGTTTTTGTTTATGCTTTCTTCCATTTAGGAAGCATAAGCATATTTTTTAAAGACTTATATCAATGTTTAAGATATAGACAAATAGTATTTTAAAATATAGCTTTTCTGACATGAAATTTTAATTTAAATATTTTTTATTTCATTACTGAATTTTCTCTTATTCAGAATCTTTCTAAAAAATTCGGTTTAGATGTTTCATAATATAACAAACTTAGTAAACTAATTTTATTTTTAAACTAATTTTATTTTTTAATAAATATTATGTCACCTATAAGAATACACAGTGTTTCTAAGAAAATAGAAGGATCCAGTCTGCCTTTATTACTGTTTCTTTAATTTAAACATAATTATTGTCTTGAATGAGACCTTTAAAATATTTTTTCTTATGTAGATTTCCAGAATTCTTTCAGTATTGAGTATACAAATCTAATATGAAATAATGTTATACTCTGACATAATGGCACATATTAAGCATATAGTATTGAAATGACAAATTTTTCTTCTTATCGAATGTTATTTTCTGCCTTGCATTTTATAACTGTATTTTTAAATTTGTATTTATATATAGGCTTTTGTTTTTTTGTATGTATTTCTTTTATTCTCACTGAAAGTGTCTCTGGGGAAATTGCATTTCTAATTTCTCCTCCCTTTTGTCTTTATCCAGGGCTTTTTTCTTACAGTTTCACCAGAGTCAGTGTTAAAAGTGGCTCACCATGCTTCTGAGAACAATAGAATTTTCACTTTGAATCTGTCTGCACCATTTATTAGTCAGTTCTACAAGGAATCATTGATGAAAGTTATGCCTTATGTTGACATACTTTTTGGAAATGAGACGGTGAGTTACTCTTTTTTTTAAAAGTACCTGGATTTTTTGGTTTCTGGTTTGCATATAAGTTTAGAAATATATAAAGGGAAACAAAATATTTCATAAATATGTTTGAGAATTATACAACAAAACTACCTCTATTTGGGCCACTCTAATTCAGTATTTTCAATATTTTCTTCAGTATGTGTTAATTTCTCACATAGTTTAAAAAAATGGTTTTTTAAAGAGTTGGGTTATTGAGTTTTATAATTTACATACTGTACATTTCTGTGAGCTTTTGCAAGTGCATGGTATCTGACACGTAACCAGGACCA